AAAATGAAGAATGGCAGTAGAACAAGACATACTCAGTTACATCGAAGAAAAACGTTTAATTTGATATGGACGTGAGAAGAACAGATCATACAAGGTGGATAGCAAAGATTTCGGATTGGAGCCCAATAGGAAGGAGGAAAAGAGGTAGACCCCGAAGATCATGGAGGGATGAAGTGGACGAGGCCATGGAAAGACGAGACGTTAGAGATGGAGAATGGCAGAACAGAAAGGACTGGAGACATTGGCTGAAAGAAGGAAGGCGGCGACAGCTGTAAAAATCCTTATATAGATAGATAGAAGAAATATAGAAGCGGCTTCAACTTCTTATCAGCAAGATGGAGCACATCGTCTGTTATTCAGCATCTTTACGACATGTATAGTGATATGTGAATTGTCAATCTGCATCATATCAGAAGATATGATGTAGAGAGTCTTACTTGCTTTTAATTCTCTAACACCGGACCATATTTCCAGAATTACAAGATATAACTTAATGAAAAAAAGGATTTATAAATGGTTAGAAATTTGTTTAGGAGAATGTTTAGAAGTGAAAAAACTGTTGACAGTACCGTATCTTTCTATGGCTCTAAGAATCCGAATAGTAAGGTGTTATGCGTTTCCCATACTCCTCTATGATTTAGCAAGCTGGATACTAAATAAGGAACTCCTTAAAAAGATAGAAGACTTTGAAATGTGGGTCTACAGACGCGTTCTTAGAGTGTCCTGGATCGATAGAGTCACAAATCAGGCAATTCTGTAAAGACTTAATATTGAACCTGAAATTATATTTATTATAAAGAACAGAAAACTTGAGTTCCTTGGGCACGTCTTTAGAGGACAAAATGTGTGTTCTTACAAATGATAATGCAAGAAAAGATAGTTAAACGAATAATAGAAGGACTTAGAAGAATTTGTTGGCTGTGAAAGTGCAAATAGCCATGTTGATCAGTAACCTCCACAAGAGACGCTGAATGCAAGAAGATTCATCGCAGTATTTTATAGCTGATTCTCGTATGGCAAGATCATCTGCTCTTTTATTGCGGTATATTTCACGTTGACCTGATACCTATACCACAGTATAAGAGTTTCCACAGTAAAACCACTCGTTTGTCGGCACTTTGATCTCAGGAAGTAATGCCGGCAAAGTACGAAATTGATAATTCACCAGTGGTAGATACGGCGGAGCAAGCACGCTCCTTTGGTAAACCTTACAGAGCCGTATTAAAACTTTCAGAGCCTACTACTATTATTTATTAAAATAAAAAATGCGGCTTAATGTTAATATTACAAAAACAAAAGGTTTAATAAATAAAAAACAATATTACAATTCAATGTTTATATTTTTCAACGGTATTTAAAATATCAACGGTATTGCGCAAGTTTTAAATCTCAATGGTTTTTAATACATTGTACACGTCATATAAAAAGGTTAATTTCGAAGCTCTTACGGCATTACTATTATACTCTGTTTCAAACCAGGAGGAGTAATTCAAATTTACCGCGTCATAACGCTTATTTGTAATTCGTCCAACGGCAGGCAAGTTTAGTCCACATCTTCTCTCTGGCACAACATTGCCCAATTCCGTGCTCTGAAAATAAATTAAATTTACTCACTATTTAGACAACACTTAATTTGCCGACTATTATTAACTTTCATAAATATATAATATTATATATGAATGTAGAAAACACACAATATTTATGCCTAGGTGAAGATTCAACTAGTATGATATTGGATAATAATCAGAAAATAACTAGCTGTGAGAAATATAAGTATTTGGGAATTCATTTCAACAAAGAAGATACGGAAGATGCAAAAATTAAGAGCAGAATAAATAAAGAAAGAATGATAATTAAATCATTGAACGGAGTTTTGTGGAGTACCGAGATAGGGAAACAAAGAAAAATGAGAATATACAACACCATGATTAAGAACACATTGGTATACGGATTCGAAACATGGAGAATAAAGAAACACCAGTAGAACATCGAGATTCGACCGGGTTAGAAATGAGTAAGTAAAGCGAAGAATGAAATTACAGGAAACGGTCATATATGCATTGAGAATAAACAATTAACGTGGTACGGACATGTTCAGAGAATGGGGGAGGAGAGACTGCAAAAGAAAATTATGAAATGGATATCTACAGACAACAGATAAAGAAGAAGGGCAAGAATGACGTGGATACAAAGAGTAAGACGATCAATGAGTGTACGAGGATTAGAAGATGAAAAATGCAATGATAGAAGATATTGGCAACAAGGCATCGGACAACGTCGGAGGACGTGTTGAACCCGAATTTATATATATAAACATATAATATATATATATATATATATATATATATATATATATATATATATATATATATATATAAACATATCTTGAGAAAATTTTTCCTCTTTGTAAATATAATTATTGTATTTGAAGTATTTAAAAAAACTGCACCTAACATTTTACTATTTCCAATAATAATTGATGCTATTCTGTTAAGGTGGTTAAATAAGCAAATTTAAAATTATATACGTACCTAATAGCTTCCTTGGGAAATCGGAAAAAAACTGTAGTTACAATTTTTTGAATTGTTCTTGCACATTTTCACTGAACACCGACTAATACCACTTCGACTTTTACTCATGTTCATACAATATGTACTTCACAATACTAACAATTATTATTCACACTAACTCAATTTAACCAAAATACGGCACTGTTCACCCTTACGTTTCTACGCGACTAGCAATAGAAGAATGATTCTCGAGCGACTAAGAAATAAGCGCAGTCGCCCTGCGCGTTGACAGACTTTACTTCCAATTTTTCCGAGAGTGGTTCTACTGTGGAACCTCTTTATACTGTGCCTATACCAGTGTAACAGCATAATTTTCCGCTAGTCTATGTAGTTTTTCTCGGCTTTCTTACAGTAGTCCAGTACCTTAGGGCTTTTGAGAGCCTACTTAGCCGTTTATCTATTTGTGCATGTATTGATTGACTTAAGTTCAAAAACCTCCGTGTTAATTTCTCTTTCACACTTTTAGATTGCAATATGTGCCTGGGCGTTATCCAGCGATTTATGTAATACTTGTTCCAGAAAACTATACAAAACTAATAAAATACAGAAATATATCATCATCATCATCAACTAGCCTCTAACGTCCACTGCTGAACATAGGCCTCTCGCATGCTTTTCCACTTAGTCCGATTTTGCGCTATCTGAATCCAATTTGTAGTCAATCTTTTTATGTCATCTGTCCATCTCGTTGGGGGTCGACCTCTATTTATGTTGGCTTGTATTCGGGGTCTCCATTCCAAAATTCTTTTTGTCCATCGGTAATCAACTGATCTTTCTACATGACCTGCCCAGTTCTACTTTAGTGTTGTTATCCTTTTAATAACGTCTGCTACTCCTGATCTTTTGCATTGGGTATTCTATCACGTAGAGAAATCTCTAACATTATTCTCTCCATTGCCCTTTCCGCAACTTGTAGTTTACTCACTGTTGTTCTTGTGAGTGTAAGGGTTTCTGCGCCGTAGGTCATCACTGGCAAAATCCACTGATTAAATACTTTTCTTTTCAGACACATATGAATCTTAAAAATTTAATTAAAAATCCTTTGTAATAGGTATATTTTAGGCCCAAACGGGCTAAGTTAAAAAGACAAAACGTTTTCGGAAACCATGTTCCATCATCAGTGTCTAGGAGTACATGAATGAAGCCACCAAGATTAAATATGTGGGTAAAAACCCGATTACATATGTTTAATTACATTTAGTTTTAAATTAATGTTGTAATGATGTAGGATTACAGAATTACCGATGGATTTGGTAACATGGCGACATATGACTCCACGTTGAAGTTGCTAGTCCTGAGACGGTATGTCTTCGAGGACTGTATGAGTGCAACTCTTACAGTCATACAGTTGCACTCATACAGTCCTCGAAGACATACCGTCTCAGGACTAGCAACTTCAACGTGGAGTCATATGTCGCCATGTTACCAAATCCATCGGTAATTCTGTAATCCTACATCATTACAACATTAATTTAAAACTAAATGTAATTAAACATATGTAATCGGGTTTTTACCCACATATTTAATCTTGGTGGCTTCATTCATGTACTCCTAGACACTGATGATGGAACATGGTTTCCGAAAACGTTTTGTCTTTTTAACTTAGCCCGTTTGGGCCTAAAATATACCTATTACAAAGGATTTTTAATTAAATTTTTAATACATGGTATACAGCCAACTACAGGAACGTAGATTCCTTGTGAATATGAATCTTAGACTTAAAAATATCCTTCATCTTTCCAAATGCAGCTCAAGCGAGGTTTATTCTTTTTTACAACTCGATTGTTTGGTTGTCTCGACCTGTTCTGATCTCATGGCCGAAGTATTTATAGGAGTCAACTGGCTCAACATATTTGTCTTCTACTGAGATGTTTTTGTTGTGGACTAAATTTGTCATAAATTGTGTTTTTGAAAAAATTTATTTTAAGACCAACTCTTTTTGTGGCAGTATGGAGTTCTTGGAGCATCTGTGCATGATCAAAGCTGTTTGCAATAAGAACGATATCATATGCAAATTTAAGGTTATTTAAAAATTTTCCATCTACATTGATGCCCTTCTCGTTCCAATATATTGTTTTACAAGCGTATTCTAGCAAAGTTGTAAATAATTTAAGAGACATGTCTCCTTGCCGAACGCCTCTTTCAATACGAAAGGTCTCAGTATCTTCATTAAGTCTTACACAGGCTGTAGCATGCTGATAGATGTATCTGATGAGGGATATGTATCAGTGATCTATTCTATATTGTGTTAGAGCTTGGAGCATTTCATTTTGATTGACCGTATCAAATGCTTTTTCAAAGTCGACAAAGACAAGTATCAGGGGTCTATTATATAGATATATAAAGAAAGATATATTCATTAGATAATAATGTTTTTTTGCGCAATATACATTAGATAAATTTATGTATTTATTAATTTACCTTTTTCAGGTTTTAGTATAATTGCAGACTGTATGAAAGTGATACCTGGCACAGTCCAGACATGTGCTGGCATTCTGAAAGAGGGGAATGTTTTAGCAATATCGCCAGGAGGTGTGTATGAAGCGCAATTTAGTCATCACTATAATTTAATGTGGAAAAAGAGGCTTGGGTTTGCAAAAGTAGCGCTAGAAGCTAAAGTTGTAAGTATCTGATATTTTTAGACTTTATTAAATGTTACAGAATCTGAAAAAATCATGTGCGATCAAATTCAAATCGATCTATCAAATATTTTCCATTAATTGAGAGTTTTAAAACTTAGGACTTGTTATATGACATATATAAATTTTGAGAAAACCCCGTATAAGTACAATTATTAATTTCTATATATTATTTTTAAATTTTTTACATTTCTTATACGCAACGGGAATTTGTTTTTGTCAAAAACTTAACTTAAATTCAATAAGCGACAAGAATTTAATTTGTTATCGTACTAATTTTAACAACCAGACCAATCTCGCATTAAAACGTTTTGAGTTCAGAATTTTTTATTGTACTAAAATTATATTAACAACAACGAATGATGCAAAAGCCGTGGCTTTTGTGCATTTTGCGCCATTCACAGTATTTAATTTTATTTTATGGACAATAACGCGCATCCCCACCTTGCTACAATCATTAATGAGTACTTAGAAGAGGTCGGAATTATTACTAATTTCTTTCAGTTTTTTGTGCACATTAAATAAGTCGTGTTTAGATATTACATCCTCCATTTAGTCGCACCTTTCTCTCATCCATTTTTCTTTGGCTAATTTGATCTCCTTTTTTATTCTTCTCTGCAGGTGTCTATATTCTGTTACATTAGATTTTATCAGTCGACGTTGTTCCATTAATTTCAAGATGTCGTCTGTCATCCAGATATTTTTTTTGACTGAGTAAAATAGTCCTGAGACGAAGTGACTCAGTACATGTAGAGTCATACGCCGCCATGTTGCCTATCCAACGGTAACTTAAACCATCACAAATTAGAAATACTAATAATGTAAAACAAATTCAAATTTATAACATTTAAAGGGTTTTTACCCATATATTTTGGTGGCTACTAGCATGTACAACCGTTTGCACTGATGATGGATTGTTTAATCCGAAAACGTTTTGCAATGTGTTTGTGATAGCCCGTTTGAGGCATTTTTATATACCTTTTATAAAGGATTTTAACAAAATTTTTTTGTGATATATGGTATACAGCCAGCTACAGGAACTTAGTTTCCTCGTGGAATTTTAATATTATTCTATCCGAGACTGGTACGAAATTGGTCACATATTTACTATTTTTATAGTTCTATGTTACTAATATACCTACACCATTTTTGTGATGCGGGTCTTCTGTGCTGTTACCAGAATAATATAATACACTTCCGTCCTTTTTAAATGATCCTGACTCTGGCCATCTTATTTCGCTGATTCCCAGTAGGTCTATTTTCATTCGTTTCATTTCTTGAATTGCGTTGTCAAGTGTCCCAGCCGCAAATAGACTTCTAACATTCTATGTGCACATTCTAAAATTAGATTTCTTTATTTTTAGGACTTCTTCTTTTATTTACAAAACCTAAATTCTCTATTTATTTTTTCGTTTCTTAACCAGTTCCGGAACGGCGTTCCAGAACCATGACACCACTGCTCCTGTGCCCAAAATGGATGGTCGTGGAAAACAATAATAAACCAAACAGAATAAGCAATGAAGCTATTCAGTATGTTAAAGACGATATTAACCTTATTCCTACGTATCTGAGTCACTATAGTCGATCTGATAATATGGAAAAGACTTATTTAAATAGTGATATGTCAGTAACTCATTTATATGAAGAATTTTATGATCCATGGAGTGAACATAACTGTATACCATCTGTTTCTGCATCGACATATAGGAAAATCTTTTGTACCGATTTTAATATATAGGTTTAAGTTGCTAAAATCCGACACCTGCAAAACATGTGATGAAACGCTGGTTAAAATAGAAGCAGCAAAAGTTGAGAGTCGTGACGAATTAACAGCTTCTTTGACGACAAATTTAAATGTTCACAAAGCACGGGAAAGAGCAATGCAGGACTTGCTAAAAACGGAAACTGCTGATGCAAAAACCAATGATAACAAACTACTTGTAACATTTGATTTACAACAGGCCCTGCAAGTACCAAAACTGACTACAGGAGTAGCTGTTTACTGCAGAAAAGTGTGGCTTTATAATGTTGGTATGAATGACTGTCGTTCGGGAAAGGAGCACATATTTGTATGGATGGAAGACACAGCTAAAAGTGGTAGTGATGAAATTTAAAGTGCTGTTTTAAAGTGTTTAATCTAATAAGTCAGACATTCATGAACTGATGTTGTTCACTAACAACTGTCCGAGACAAAATAAAAACTGGACTTGTGATTGCAAACTGGTTAATGGCCTTGTGATTGCAAATGGTTAAAGAAAGGAAATTAAAAAAAAAGTTACCCACTACTTTCTGGTTAGCGGCCACACGCACTTACCATCAAATCAGAACTTTGATCTCATTGAAAAAACACATCAAACTGGTATGATATTATTAAAAAATCGAGTAAAAGAAATCCTTTCGAGGTCACAATAATGGAACAAAATGACTTCAAGCACATCAGTATACTACAACAGAATGCCAAAAAAGGGACCCAAACTGCCGACGCCAATAAACTTGATTTTTCAGGAGTGTTTTTATTTATGTTTGACATTAGTACTACCAATGCTTGTTTTGTTAAGTACGCTGTTAATGGTGCATACCAGGAAGTTAATTTATTAAAAAGAAGGAAGGCCGACATTGTTAACACTTACACTAACACGACAGAGCCTGTCAAAATTTCGAAAAAGAAGATAGACAACATAAAAACTTTATTCCCATATAAACCGCCCCTTTGTCACCATTATTATGAATCCCTTCAGCCTGACCAAAATGAAGATGACGAAGCAGAATTGCTGGAGTAACATAATTCTAGTTGGTTCATATATATATCAAAATGTGTTTTTTTTTCTTTTTGTCATAGTGTGACAAGCCATATAAAAATGTTAATTATGTGTTTTTGAGCATACCAATGCAAATTTTGTTTCTTTATAGTTTGTATTATAGATTAATACAGGGTTACGCAATTGAAACTGTTACCTATTCAAACGACCATAATTTTTTTGTGTGAATTTATTTATTTATTAAATATGTGAAAATAATCAAAATTTCAGAATCCACTCACTTTAACTCGATGTGGCCACCTTTTGGCCCATTCACGTATAATTGCTTTCTTCAGCGCACCATACTGGCATATTTTTTAGTCCTCATCTTGCTCTCCAAAATGGATCAGAATGGAATTGTCCATCGGATTTGCATCTGACGAATTCGAAAGCCATTGTGTGGATGAAATGAAGTGTGGAACATGGGTTTTTAACCATTCTTGGTTCACACTAGATTTATGAGACGATGCCGTGTCTTGTTGGAACGTCCATGGTCTACAACCGAAATGCTTGCGTGCCCACGGCTCTTAAGCAGCTTCTAAAACATTTTCTCGATAATAAGTTGCATTGACTTTGACACCAGTTTCAATAAAAACGATTGGAGAGCGTCCATCGGCGGTTACAGCTGCACATACTATTACTTGAGATGGGAAATTACTTCGGGTGGCCGTTCGTAAGCTCAAACTTTCGTAGGTGCGTTCGGTCAAGTAAACACGATCATTTTAAGAGTTTATGAACAGCTCAATAGGGAAATTTTTCTCATCAGAGAACACTATGTTCGGAAATTCGCCACATTCGTGCAGGCGTAACAACTCCTTTGCTCTTTCAAGCCGAACTTTTTTTTGCTTTGGTGTAAGATTGTGTGCTTTTTGAAACTTGTAAGGCTTGACCTTGAGCTCCTTGTTCAATATTCGCATCGGTGGGATGTTTTCAGTTCTTTGGTACTTATAAACAATATACTGAATGTTATCAGGCTAACTTTGACGTAGCTGTCATTATCGATTTGTGAGATATATCGATGTGAAGTTGGTAACAGTTCAATTGCGTAACCCTATATATACTTGTATCAATTAAACCAGTCAAATGTAGACTAAATATGTTTCTGATTTTATACTTTTTATTTGAACTTTAACACTGGTTTAGTCCCTATCGCCAGTTTGTAGCTTATCATTATATAACAATACGCCCTTCAATTACTGATACCTTAATTAATTTTTATTAACAAACGTAGCGCCTGTGCCTTGCTAGCGTTCTTCTTCTAGTGCCGTCTCGCTAGTGAAGATTGGCTATAAATGGGAAGACTGCTTTTCTTAAGAGCGTCCATGGACGTATAAATTATACGTCCATGAGAGCGTCTGATTGGTTAGAATAAAGTCGTTCTGATTTCTAATGCAATTTTGTTCATTATCCTGTGGTGACCTCCAGGTATACATTCTTTGGAGTAGTAATCGAAACCATGACGTGTTCATAATCACCAGCATTAATGACAATTTTTTCCGTTACATCAAAAACTGCATTGAAAGAAATTTGCAAATAGTTTAGTTATTTGAATATTTGTTGCTAGCGTTTTTAACAACAATATTGAATAAGTATTTTTTTAATTCGTTTGAAATAGTCAACTCTATCACAGAAAGCGTTGAAATTACATATTTCCAATTAAAAAAAATGGAAAGTATGCAAGGAGAACAACGAAATTATTTTATCATCTTGCGAAACAGTAAGAATGAGAGTATATGTACAACTAACCAAATATTTGTTTTAGCCTATAATACCGATGTTTACCGAAAACCTAAGAGAAGCATTTAGAACAGTCAGTATTGGAAGAAGGATATTTCTTCGACTTTATGCACTTTTTAAGTTGCCATTAGCTCCTATATATGGAGGTTTTCCAACGAAAATGATTACACACTTAGGAAAGCCGATTCCTTATGACAAGAATTTGACTCCAGAAGAGCTACAGTCAAAGGTAAACTATCAAGATGAATTAATAGTACATAACATTTTTACTCGTTTGTCACATTGTTAGCTTCATATGCCAAATTAATAAATTCTTAAAAATCAGTTTTATAATACATTGGTCAATCTATTGTTGAAAATTGTAGTAAATATACTAATATGTATGTATGTATATCTATTTAGTCTGCTCCATAAGTTATCACACAACTTTTTCTGTAAAAATCCGAATGGCACCCCTCACATCCACCTCCAAACAGATCCTCCCTGGTTTAATAATTATTTTATGTAGTTTTAATTTTGTATTTATACTCAGTGACATTAGAAATTTTACATCCAGAAGGAATTATTTCTTAAATTTAGTTTTTTGGGAACATGGTAGATTTACATCAAGAATAAAACGATAACATTGTCAAGAATTTTTATTGCCAAGTAATCAAAAAAATTAATAATATATTTGACGACCCCGTAGCTGAATACACTCCTGTATACATCTCGGCATTGACAAAATGAGATGATCGATGTCTGCTTGTGACACCTCGTTCCAAGTAACTTGAACTTCATGTATTAACTGTGCCAGAGTCTGTGGAGGATGGTGCAAAGTGGAGAGTCTTCTTTTCATCATATCCCATACATGTTCGATAGCATTTAAATCCTCTGCACGGGGCGGCCACGGCAAAACATTACCACCGGCTTCTTAGAGGATGTCCCTAGTTTGACGAGCAATATGTGGACGCTCTTTGCCTTGCTGAAAATGGACGTCTTGATGGACGTCGAGATAAGGCAGTAAAGTAGTTTGTAAAGTGTCATCAAAATAACGCACAGTTGTCATATTGCCTCGAATAAAGGCAATTGGTGATCGGCTACTATAGGCAATAGCCCCCCAAACTATTACTCCAACTATTCTGTGTACATGTCTCTCAATAGCAAACCCGATACCTCGTCGTTCGCCACGACGGCTTCTTACCATCCTACGGCTATCATGCATTCCTAAACAGAATTGTGATTCATCGCGGAATGCTACATTACGCCATTCTGCCACCCAATGCTGCCGTTCTCTGCACCAATTCAAACGTTGATGACAGTGGTCTGCAGTCAAAGGAAGCACTAGTCGTGGGCGGAATGAAACCAGTCCAAAGGCTCGAATGCGACGGTATAGTGTACGAATATTAACAGGTCTACCTACGACTCCAAACCATTGGTCACCAATTTGACCGTAGTACCAAAACGGTCTCGGTGAGCCAGTAATCTAAAGCGAAAATCTTTTAAGCTCTTTGATACGCCTCGGTTGACCAGTTGGTCTTCTTCGTGTTCCTTTACCTCTACCTTCGTTTGTCCACAGATGACACACCAACCGTCATTGCCGTACAATCAACACGACGGCCAACTTCGCAATACGACAATAATTCTACCGCAATACGGCAATAATTCTACCCATGTCAAAATCGCTAACATGGTGATAATTTTGGTGTCTTCGTACTCGAGGCATTTTCTTACGCTGAATACAATTAGTTTGAGGAATAATAACTAAAAATTTCTAGACGAACCGGCTTTCACAAAAAAATTTAAAAATAACACTTTATTTTTACAAAAAGTAGAAAAGATAAATCATTGGCATTGTTATCATCTTCTTTGAGTACCGTGCACAAGTTTTAGGCGTGGGTAGCTTCCATGACACTTTGCCGATATCTATTTATTTAATTAACGGATATACCATTTTTACATCGTTCTCGATCTTGCGCGGTATGTAATAATTCATCTGCTGATAAGAAAGTCCATTGACGAAGGTTTCGGATCCATGAGTATTTCTTTCCACCAAATACTCTTCTTCTGTCGATCTTTCCGTTGAGTATATCAACTGAATTATCCTGTATATGGTTCCTCTCATTATATGCCCCAGATATTCGAGTTTTCTCTTTTTTATCATCTTTATTAAGTCACCTTCACCTTGACCTACTCTGTTCAAGACTTCTCTGTTTGAAATGTGTTGAACCCATACCCATGATATTCTGAGCATTCTACTATATAACCACATCTCGACCACACCACGGGAAATTGTTATCATAGTATGTTTTAAATATAGTCATTCTGTTGCCAAAAAATTAAGTTCAATAAGTTATTCCTTCTGAGTGTAACACTTCTAATGTCACTGAGTATATTTTTAATTGATTATTAAATTTGTAGGTAGCAGCTGCCATCGAAGATCTCATCAATACTCATCAACGAATACCAGGCAATATTCTGTATGCCTTACTAGATCGGATACCTTTGTTTAGAAAACAGAAAATAGGTTAAATTTTTATTGTTTTTATATTTTATTATTTTTATTATAATTTTGTGATTATTTTTTACATTCCTCTACATGTACAACGCCTACAATCTAATCGAATGTTATACTTAAATAAAAAATGACTTAATTTGAAAACTGTATTGTTACAATTTATATATAGATTGTTTATTATAGTATAGTATTAATAAATTAAATTATTAATAAGGAAAGATATATGGTGGCTACAAAATAAAAGAAATTTGAAACAGAAATATGTTGTTTTATATTTTCAACTTGTTTCATTATGAAAAATGATTTCGATAACGGCAATAACATTAAAGAAACGTTTGTAAATATTCTATTGCCGTCGAATTATCATCATCATCAGCCGTCTTGAGTCCACTGCTGGACATAGGCCTCTTGTAAATAATTCCAATGCATTTTATCTTGAGCACCCTGAATCCAGTTGTACTTAATGCGCGTGATATCATCTGACCACCTTGTTAGAGGACGTCCTCGATTACGATAAGCATCGTGTCTAGATCTCCATTCCAGAATTTTCTTCATCCACCTTTCATCTTATAATCCAGCAACATGCCCCGCCCAATTCCATTTCAATGTTGCGTCCGTAACACCAGTTTTTCTCCTAACTATTGTATTTGATACTCTGTCTCTGAGGGATATATTCAGCATTTACCTCTCCATCGCTCTTTGTGCTACTTGTATTTTATTGATAACTTTTCTGGTAAGGGTCAATGTTTCTGCTCCATACGTTAGAACTGGGAGTACACATTGATCCAAGACCTTCCTTTTCAAGCACATGGGACACAGTAACCCAAACTGTCAGAAGCGCCTTAACAAAATACCTGTAATTTATAAATTATTTCTATTATTGATCGTTAATTCTTTATTTTATTGGTAAAGATTTATATTATATTGTGATAAACTACAATTTTATGCAAGATTTACCTTCTTGTGAGCTGTATGTAGCTTGAGTGTTCAGTTTGTGCAAAAAATTGGTTAGTAAGGTAAATGACCAGTCATTGCCACTATAAGAAAGTTAAAGCTAAAAACCACATAAAGCCAAAAAACCAATAATTGCCACACAATTTTTCAAAATACCAATTATTGCCACCCAGTCATTGCCATACAGAAATAACTCTACATTTTACTGAAAAATCTTGTTTATTAATAAAAATTCCACAGGTTTTAGGCCTCAAATACATCCACTGGCAAAGTAAATTCATAACGGATCTGTTCACCAGTGGATAAAATAATAGGGGTCGGCGGTATGCCTAAAACACGATTTTCGTTAACAAAGTAGATGTATTTTTCATCACAAATAAAAATGTTCTTTTCAGCACTAACAGATTTCATAGACATTACTTGTACATCATTATTGTCCATAAGGCCTTGGATAATACAAACATATCTGTATGTTATGGATTTTTTTTACCACCTAGGAATTTCACAAGTACATAGTTTCCCACACTAAGTTCTCCGTGAGTTAATGGGCAAAATTCTTTGTTAGGGTCATCACAAAAGTCTATGTCATCACAGCTGCTACCACTCTCGACCCACTCTTCATCCTTTCCATCGTCATCAGAAATATCCCGTTTTAGCTTCTCTTTCAATAGACATTCTTGCTCTCTTGCAATTTTTCTTTGGTTTTTTCTTCTTCTTTTTCTTTTCATTTTCTTTTTTCAAGTGATATTCACGCCAAGCTTCTGATTGTACCACGGATGGAATCTTTTCCTTTAGTTTTATCTTCTTTGTCTGAGGTTTTGGGTCTGGCCAAAACAGTGCTTTCTTAAATGGGGTAGGAACTTTGCATGGACTCTACAAGTGTACATGTGATGTACTTGGTTCAGGAGTAGACAATATATCTGAGCTATGAGTACCAGAGATATTTGGTTGGAAATTTTTTACTGGTGTGCAGTTGAGTTGGAAATATGGTAATATTGTTTTGGATGGTACATTTAATTTGGTTTGGTAGTGTTTCCATTGTCCATTCTTTCCATATGTTAAAAAGGGATTTATCCTCAATAGAACCATTCCAATCCTGATTTTCATTTAAAGTTACCTTGAACCTATTTAAAGTTTCTTCACCCGGCTTTCCTTCAAAATACTTAAGTGCTTAAGTGACACTCTTTGTGTCACAAAGCTTGTCAAAAACAAGCGAAACCATTTGTCACTGGGACGGCTATGAATAAATGATTTCTCTCTTTCTGTAGAATTTATTATTTTCTGAACTGTATCCAAAAGCTGAACTTTTGAAACAGGAAAATGTCTTTCTGATAGATGTAAAATCCATTTCACTAAGACTGATTCATCTTCTTTGGTTAAAATTGTAAAAAGGTCCATAGAACAAAATAATGGTGACTTTCCATCTCTCTTATGCCTCAAAGTACTATGAGGAACTCCATGAATTTTTGCTGCCGTAGCTGCTGGGATTCCCTTTTTCACATTCTCTAGGGCTTTGGCCAATTGCTCTTTCGAATAATTCCGTTTAGGTGCCATTTCTGGAATGAATAAAATACTTGTAATACCAAATATTAATGTAACCAATGATTGCCACTTTAGAACCAGTGATTGCCACCACTGGCAATAATTGGTAAAAGTAAAGTTTTTGTAATAAAAAAAATAGTGGCAACACCGTAATTTTAAATAGTAAATTTACACATTATAATGAATTAAAAATAAGCCAAACCAATAATGGCCACTTGTGGCAATGACTGGTATTCATAAAATATTTTGTAACCAGTCATTGCCAGGTACATTTCTTTAGAAATATGTACCCTTAACTGAATTTAAACAGCAAACAAATGTAGTTTAGAGTATTTAAGAGGAGCACATGTGTAAATAATTTTATAAAACAATCATTTACAAAAGTGAATAAGAAAAAGAAAAATGTACTTACCTTAATTTTTTCATAAGAAATCACAAAAAATAGGAAGAAATTTTACACAACACTACTCTAAGGGGTATACAACAAAAATGGCTGATGCTTGGGTATTGTACAACAGTATACAGTTGCCAAACTTAATAAGGTATTAGTACTTGCAAAAAATATAATTTGATTTCAAGTAATTTTCTTATTTTCTTAGAATTTAAGGGCCAGTGGCAATAATTGGTAGCGTGGCAAGGACTGGTTGTTTACCTTATTGTTATAGAAGTAGTATCCACATTTAGCCATATGGCTCACACTCCCTCTAAGAGAAACATTAACTCATCCCAGATACCTAGGGTATCAAAAGGATTGAGCTCTGGTGGGACTCTTTCCATGTTATCGAGCCCTAGATGACTTGGTACGCTGGAGTATCTCTCAAAAATTTTCGTACACATCTAGACGTCGCGAGGAGTACAGCTTTCTGCATGAACTAGAGATGTTCATTTAAACCCAGATGTTTTATGTTCTCTAGAAGGTTTTTGGGAATAACACCAGTAGTATATAGAATATTAGTTACTGTCTGGGTACTTTCCATTCTCCATTGTCTCCTGATTTGCATTTCTAGATCTCTGTACTTTGCCAGTTTTCCTTTTTTTAACACGTAACCTACCACTTTACGTAGACAGCTGAAAAAACTTGGGTTCAAATACAAAATTGTTGGGAAAGTAAGAGGATACTACCCTTGGCAGAAAAAAAATAGAAGCATGGTAGATTATCATCAGAATATGAATTCTAATATATTCGAAGAGTGGTTTAAAATACAATACTTCCCAATATAACACCGGGCAGTGTGATAGTTAGGGACAATGCTAGCTACCACTCAAGGTTTTTTTAAAAAAAATCCTAACAATTCATCTTTAAAACAGGAACTAAACGATTTTCTCTCAGATAATGATTTGTATTTTGAAGACAACTATAATAACAAACAGTTACTTGGAGTGCTTCGTACTAAAACTTATAAGAAACAATATACACTGGACACTATTGTATTACAACATGGCCATACTGTTTTGAGGTTACCACCTTATTTTTGCATATTCAATCCTATCGAACTTATTTGGTGACAAGTAAAAAAATGGATTCTGAGAAAAAATAGTTTTCCAAAATTTGATGCGAAAGTGGTTGATTTAATTTGATATGAACTCTCAGAGATTATAAGTGCCGACTAGAAAAATGCAGTAAACCATGTAGTGAAAGTAGAAAATGAGTACGGAAGACTAAGACAATTATTTTCAAACAGTGGACAACTTATTATTAATCTGGTGGATAATGACGATGATGAGAGCTCATCTGCAGGATAAATATTTTAGACAAGGTCCACCAATATGATGATTATTTCAGTTAAAACAACTCAATTTTTCATTATAAATTGCTAGCTTTGTTTAAAACAATATTTTCTTAAATGTAAAATACTCTTCCACAGTTCTGTCTATCCACATCATCTTTAAACACTTGTTTCAGGCACTTGTCATATGTCGTATAATTTTAATATACCAACGTCATATGTTATTGGTTATTGGTATATAGTATATACCAATAACTATAGATACCAAAGACTTATGATGTAGATATTTTAAAATTGTATGACATATAACAAGTGCCTAAAACAAATGAGAAGCGTTGAAAAGCCCTATAGAAGATGCCATTGTATCACCTAGTACTTTTTCCAACAGGGTGGTAGAGTGATAATTTTTTTACATTTTACTTTTAACCATTTAAAAAACAAAGAAATATAATGTTTTGTTTTTTTTCCAAAATCAGATTTTCTGCTCTTTGACTATAATATTTTATTTATTTATTTATTGACGGATATACCATTTACAATATATAATATATAAAATTTTACAAAGTAAGCATAACATTGGAAAATAATTAGTAAGTTTAACAAAAACTAATAATTAACTTGAATACAAACTAATATCACACAAATAGCAGTCCCTTTATCACATTTTTAAATTGTTCTAAGGACTGGAAAAATATGTCCAGATCACTTTGGTACCTATTATATAGTCTCACCATATGAGTAAGAGGCTTGAAGTATTCATAATTAAATTGATGAAAATGGTAGATGAAATAATGAAGTATGCCTAGTTCCATGAAGAGTGTTAAGACCTAATCGATTTAAAAGTTTAAGGCAATTTATCAAATTATTAACAATTTTGTAAAGGAATATCAGGCAAAAATAATCTTTTCGTCGATTCATAGAAACCATTTTTAAGTGATCCACTATCATACTATAACTGTATGGGACAGAGAGGTCATGAAAAGCACTACGGTAATGATAGTGTTTACCAAATTTATGCTGAACACAATCAAGCTTGTCTATAGATGTTTGATAGTAAGGTCCCCATATAACTATTGCATATTCAAGTCTGGAGTGAATGAGACTATCAAAAAGAATTGGTAAAACAAAACATGAAAATTGAGAAGTGTTTCTAGTTATAAACCCTAATTGTTTGAATGCACTGTTTACTGTGACCTCTAGATGCTTACAAAATGATAATTTGCAATCAAAATAAACACCTAAATCCTTAACACAGTTCTGTCTAGACAGCTGAGTATTATCAATGCTGTAGTCGTAATTTAAAATTATTTGTTTCCTGTGAAAAGTAATAACACAACACTTATCAATGTTCAACATTAATTCATTTAGTTTGCACCAATCGCTAAATCTGTTGATATCCTCTTGTAGCTGAATTTGATCATACTGACAAGTAATGACTTTATAAATTTTTTTATCATCAACAAAGTTGAGAAATTTTGAATACTTAATTACTTTCTCAACATCGTTAACAAAGAGGACAAAAAGTAGAGGACCACAATGTGACCCCTGTGGTACTCCAGAGAGGATGTCAATAGATTGAGACAACACACCATTTATCTTAATGCTCTGGGTGTTACCCACAAGAAAACTATCATACCAATCAAGACATTTGCCAGCTATACCAATGGCTTCTAACTTACTGATTAAATAACGATGATTTACTTTATCAAATGCCTTTGAGAAGTCAGTATAGATGCTGTCCACCTGGTACTTCCTCTCAAAGGCACCTAAATATATCTTGGTAGACCAACAAGTTTGTCACTGTGCTCCTGCCCCTTTGAAAGCCATGCTGTTGGGGTATTATTATATTATTTGTTAGTTTTGATAAGTGAGAAGTCACTAGTTTGTTGAGAAGTTTTGGGATTGCTGACTGTATACAAATTCCTCGGTATTTTTCAATATCTTCCCTTTTACCTGACTTAAAAATGGGTACAATATAACTGTTCTTCCAGAAAGGAGGGAACTCACCAGTCATAAGAGATAAATTATAAAGATATTTTAGGGGCATAGTAAGAGAGCATAGACAGTGCTTTAATAATACTGGTGGGATTCCATTGGGCCCCGAGGAGAATTTGTTTGGAAGTTTTCTTAGTTCATCAAACACTGATATAATGTCAACTTGAATTAGGTTTACAGGGTCAATGTGTCTGACACAGTTTTCAAAATCTGGAATGGGAACACCTTTATCTTTCTCATATACACCAGAGAAGAACTCAGCAAAAAGGTTAGCAATTTCGATATTGCCCTGTACCCTTTTGTTACAGAGATACATTTCTTGTGGGTAACTTGAAGATTTACGAAGTCTGCCAATGTATCCCAACATTCCCTGGGGTTATTACTAAAATTTTTTTCAAGAGATGAAAAATGCTGTTTCTGACAAAGTGTATGTTCAATTTTACATTGATCACGCAGATTAGAGAACAATAAGTAGTCCTCATTTGATTTAGATAATTTAAATCTCAGATGAGGTGTTTTCTTTTGAATAATAAGATCTTTAAGTTTTATTGAGAACCAAATTGGGAACTTGTAGGAACACTTGACAGCCTTCATAGGAACAAAAATATCTAAACACTAAACAGAGAAATATCAGATATAATTTATTTTTCTATTTATAAGTTGAAGACTTTTCCAACAGCCACAATTCCCTGCAATCCCCAAATGATTCATTATATAGAAAAAATTAGTAGCCCTGTTAATATCAAAGAGTAATGTCAAAAAAAAATAAAAGGTAATAGTTTAATTAAGTAGTTTTACTTTTCTAATAAAAACATTTTATACAGTTTTTCATCTTCACTACTGTTAAACTTTGGAACAAATGAAATAAAAACCATTTCATAAAAACCTTCAGTCATTACTGGGTCTTGATAATTTTTTCTTAGACTATTAATAATAATTTCACTGACCATTTGATGAGATTTATCTGTTAACTCCCTAAATCTATTATTATGCTTGCATTGTTCAAAGCTTGTCATCATGATAAAACATCTACAATGCACTCCAAATTTTTTACAAACATCTATATATCTTTTTCTTGATTCTTTATCCACATTTGTATTATCAACAACACAGTTTTTCTTTTGTTGAAGAGATTCTTCTAATAGTTTAACACATTTTTGCCATGATCCTACAGTATCTCTATTAATGTGGACATAGTTTTTCGGCACTATATGATTTTTACAATAATGGGTTTTACCAGAACCTGGGCCACCTACCATAATAATTACATTTGGGGTTTCATAGTCGAAAGTAGGAAGATTTCCAGAACTTAGTTTTCTAGGATCAAATTCTGGCATTTTAAATGGTGCAGATCGACTTTTTGTAAAATATTCTTCAGGAGTATAAAACTTTATTCCAATATTTAATGCAAATAGACGGTCAGCACTAGAATGATCCTTTGGTTTTTTTGGTGCCCAATGTAGTTCTCTTCCTGCAGCATCTCCAACATAAAAAGATTGATTAAGATTTATTTTAATATTATCATTCTTTTGGTTTTTTAACATATCCCACATTCCTGGTATAGGTTTTCTATATTTGGATCTCCCAAGAGCAATGTAGACTTGGATGGGTAAAGCGATTTTTTTTAAAATATTTTCAATTTTTCTTTTGAATTCCTTTACTTTGGATGCATCTTTCCCAACACCAGACTGATTTGTGAAAAACACAATTTTGAAATTGTCATTGTACAATTTCTGTAATTTTGAAGGAATTTCACTAAAATTCATAATCCAATCATCAAAATTTTTAGGAAATCTTGCACCTGATTCTGTTTTAATAATTGTACCATCTATATCAAATGCTGCTATTTTATTTTGACTCTGAATATTGTCTGGAGTAAAAATCAGTAATTCTCTTTGGTCAATATCTTCCCATCTACCTGCTCCATTAAAAAAGGCACTATTATTTGGTTCTGCATAAATAACATCTAATTTTGGTCTCTTAGCAGTTTGTTCCATTTTTTCTTCTAGAGATTCAAAAACAATTTCAAAAGGATGAAATCCCAAACGGAATTCTATAACATGACCAGGTCCCAATGTATATGTCTTATCCTTGACCACAGCATATCCATCCACACCACAAATAGACTTTCCAACTGGTTTTATTTTTACTATACATGAATCAGTATCAGCTATACATTCAATTTGTTCTTTTGAAACATAAACATCATCCACTTTGGTTTCTAGACTGCGGCCTACTTTTGTTAACTTACCATTCGGTAAATGAATTCTTATTTTATTAGCCAGATGTACCAGATAACATTTTCTTGACATACTGATGTCTTGATTGAACTTGTAAGGTTTAAAAATATGTACTTGTTTAAATAAATATCTAATTCCACACAAAGAAATGCTAATTACCATAACAATTTCTCATTGTATCATTTATGATACCTGTAAGTAATTATTACTAAACCTTGGTAACATTATCGGTAACCGAATTTAAATGAAAAATTAAATCCTAACCTAAATCTTAAATCTTCTTCCTTATTCATAGCCTTTATTGGGCTGTAATTCTTCTTCTCTTTGAATGATATGGGACGTTGTTCACATTTGGTCCCAGTGAAGATAGCCTCAAACGATCTGTCAATTAATTTCACAGAACGAAATATTGCGTTGGCAGTGTTGCCGTGTCCTTATAATGTATATGTTATATGCTTCAAATACCAAGAGAGAAAGCTTTTAAAACGTACATTTTTATTATATTATTTTATGGATTCTGCAACTAGTTAATTCATTCATGTTACAAAACATAACATTGTTTGACAATTGCCCCAATCGATAGGTTAGCGGATAGATTTGGTAATAGTATCAGAACCAGATTGCAACAGATGTCTTTTTAACTTAATTATTTATCTTTTTACCCCAGGGCTTTCCCCTAAAATCGCCATCGCCCTCGTGGAGGGGAGAAAACGAAAAAAAAAAATCGATTTACCAAGAGTGCCTTTACTCCATAGAAAAAATATTTCAAATAAAAATGTATCTCAGATAAAAATGTTTATTAGTATTTTTTGTGTAGAATGAACCGTTCTCTCAGAAACAACGCTTGAAGATCGTTACAACGTGAAATCAATGCAATAAAATGTATATCAACTCGACGGTACAAATTCGATATCTTTTGATCCGAGTGTCCTATCGACAAAAACGAAACATTTAACGTTGATTTCCCACGCGCAACTGTCATTCAAAATCGATGGTCGCTTGAAGCGTTGTTTCTAATAAAACATTCTACACAAAAAGTGCTCATACATATTTTTGTTCAAAATTATTTGAGCTAGATTTTTTCTACGACGTATAGATTCTTGGTAAATTGTTTTTTTACGTTTTAACCCCCTACGAGGGGAATTTTAGTGGAAAGCCCTGGGGTAAATCTAATTTTTTACATTTTTTTGAGTTCCAGAATTGATATTCTCAGCAAAACTCAGCTTACATTCAGCTAAATAATGAAGGGTTACAGAGCGCTATAACCAATTAGTAAGAGTAGATTCAAGATGTAAAACATAATTTATAACTTCGATCTTAATTAAAATTTGTATTCCAATAGATATTTAACCATAAGATATTTTTGAGAAGTTGTGAAGTGTTTAAATTTCTGTTACATTGTACAAATAAATATAGATAGAATCTCACTCGACAGTCTCTCGACCTCGCACAAAGTTTACAAGAGTACCTTCTTGGAAAGACGTTGAACTAGGTGAATTGAAGAAGTTGTTGGAAGTTTGTTTATTGCAAGGGCAAACGAAACACGAAACTAACATCGATAATAAATATGTTTATTTTTATTATTTTATTATTACATCTTTCCTGCAACTATATCTGATAGGCTTATAATGAACTCGGCCAATGCTGCACTGGAAAGGGTGAAATCGGGGTGGAAAGACCGAGAGTTGACACTCGATACACAAAAAACGCTTTGGGGAAGATTTGATACTAAAAGGACCTAGTGACAGAGGTCACATCTTCTTAACCCTCGAAGGAGAAAGAATAATGTCAGCTAAAAAGGTTAAATCCCTAGAAGTAATGCTGGAAAGTAAACAGAAATTTGGCGAACATGTCAAATATGCTGCAAAGAAGGCCGAACAGAGAGCAACAGCATTGGCAATAATTATGTCAAACATATGAGGCGCAGGTACGGGAAAAAGAAGGATTCTGATGGAAGTAGTACACTCCACTATTCTATATGCGACACCGGTGTGGCATCAAGCAACTAACAAACAAAAGTACAAACAAATTTTAGAGAGGGCCCTTCTTCTTCTTGAAGTGCTATCTCCGCTGCGGAGGTCGGTGATCATCATAGCTATTCGGATTTTTGAGACAACTGCTCTGAAAAGTTCCTTTGATGTACATCCGTACCACTCTCTCATGTTGCGCAGCCATGACATTCTACGCCTCCCGATGCTTCTCTTTCCTTGGATATTTCCCTGCATAATTAGTTGGAAGCAAGGTGTATTTCTTTCCACGTGTAATATATCCGAGATATTCCAATTTTCTTGTTTTAATTATATTTAAAATTTCTATTTCTTTATTCATCCTTCTCAGAACCTCTTTGTTTGTGACGTGTTCTGTCCACGATATTTTCAGAATTGTTCTATACACCCACAGCTCGAATGATTCCAGTTTTTTTCATTGATGTCGCATTCAAGGTCCAAGTCTAAAAACATAGCAGCTCGCCAACCTAACTCTTAGTTAAAATTTTATATCCCTTGTACATAGCACTCTTCTCATTTTGTTGAAATTGCTATAGCCTTTTCTATTCTGATTTTGATCTCCTGAATGTAATCGTTTGTGGAATTAATCATTGTTCCCAGATATGCATATTTGTCCACCTGTTAGACGTTGGTTCCGTTTATTAGAAGATTCTCGTTATTTCTTTGAGTTTTCGATATTCTCATAAATTTCGTCTTCTTGACGTTCATTGTTAGACCGTACTCTTTTCTATACTTCGCTATTCTGGTCACCAGTCTCTGAAGATCTTCAATATTTTCGGCTAAGATCAGTGTCGTCCGCATATCTGTTGTTAATGGGAACTCTATTTACCTTTATTCCAGCTGTTTTACCCTCAAGAGCGTTTTTCAGGATCTCTTCGGAGTAGACATTAAAAGAATTGGCGACAATACGCATCAATATCTCACTTCACGTCTAATTTCAATTTCTTCTGACAGCTGTTCGTTAACGCGTACTTTGACCACTTAGAGAAGGCCCAAAAAAACCTATTAATGATCGATACGCCTATAGAAGGACTTCGACGTTAGCCCTACAAGTTATAGCTGGGGTAGCATCGATACACCTGCAGGTAAGAGAGAGAGAGAGAGCCAAAACAGACAGTAAGAGTAATCAAGAGAACGCATAAGAAAGAATAGCAACCATCACAAAATGACAGGAAGACTATGTAAACGAGGGGAATGGACAAGAATTCTGATCCCGGTTGTAGAGGAGTGGGTGGAGTGCAAGATAAAAGCACGAACTACTTCTTCACGCAATTCCTTATGGGACATGAATAATTTAGAACGTACCTTGAGAGGATAGGCAAGGTAATAGATGCTAGCAGTGTGAACTGCGGAATAAGCGACATAGCAGAACACTGTAGTAAGGGAGAAAATAAATTTAAAGAAGTAGAGACTTAAGCTAAACTTCCACATAAACCCTCTCTCAATTTTTATAACCAGGTTATACTTGTCTTACATTCAATACCGGCATAGGTGGTTTATTTTGTTTAACTTATGCATTTTTTGCCAAACTCAAAGAACTTAAGTTAATTTCTTTAATTAATATACCCTGATTGCCATTTTTTAAAACTTCAACTTAACTCTGTCAACAAAACAATAATTATGTATGTATCTATCTACGCGTAATACCTTAATGGTAAGAATTAGGAGAGGCCTGTTTTCGGCAATCCGAATAGAGAGAAGGGCTTAAGAAAATGTACCTCCTGCTCCATTTACCATCTTCCTTTTTTTCGACGCTATTACACAAGCTCAAAATGATGCAGATTGTGATTATGACTAAAATACTAGTGTATTTACCTACCATTTTGTATTTTATGGAAAAATCACATAATTGTTGGTAATGTTTTAGTTTAAAATATACTACTATTTTTTGTATTTACTTGATATTTAAGTTTTTTCCGTATGTACTTCCTTAAATTTTCAGTTTTTCTAGATTTTGGGAGCAAAATTGTCCACATGGAAATTAAAAAAAAAAAATGTTAACTTTATTTTCAAAAATTCAAATTCAAAAAGTACTGCATATAAAAGTCTTTGATTTCTGTTTCCCAAAGAAAATATAAAGTTATTACATTTTATAAGACTACGTGACTTAAATGTTTTTTTCATTTTTCTTAAAACTAAGAACTGCACATAGCCGGTTTTTGCACTGGGGTCTTCAGTTGTTCTCTTCAGCAGTTCTGCAGCAGTTGGCTATAGCCATAGCCACAGTGAAAATTGTCTTGAGAGTACTTGTAAAATATATCTAAAAATGAAAATAAGAACTTATAATAGGTATATATATATATATATATATATATATATATATATAATATATATTATATATATATATACATATATATATATATATATATACATATATATATATATACATATATATATATACATATATATAATATATATATAAATATACATATATATATATATATATATATTATATATATATATATATATATATATATATATGTATATATACATATATATATATGTTATATGTGAAATAGTCACCTTGAACCACTCAAGGGTTACCGACACTTTGGTTTTCGCAATATCAGTTCCTATTTCATCATTCTTTTAGCAAGCGTTCCCATAGAGATAGCTGACTATGCACGGACATCAAACTCTGACCAAAGCTGGCCTTTCGTGGGAAATGCCGACACCACATTTTGTAGATAGATTATAAATTCAGGACTAACATTATATTTTTCACTCGTCATATAAGTTTCTTACTAATAACATTTGTATTATATAATTTTATTTGCTTCATTTTATCGTATAACTAAGTGTAACTTTTATTTGTGAAATAAATCTTTTTTAAAAAGTCAATCAAGAAGTTAGTGATTTAACATTTGGCGCAGTCAGTAGGATCCGGTTAACGTTGTTAGAACAAGGAAACTCACTAGCAACGGCGGATCCCTATCCCTCAACGGAAAAAGAACCTAGAGCCGTCCTCATTCAACTGGATACTACGGAAGGAACACCTGGTGAAGCCCCTGGTAGCAGATCCCGTTAGAAAACAAGACGTACTCGATGTTTCTGTTAATGTAAGTTATTGAATCATCTCGTTTTTACTATTTTTATATTTGCAAACATACCGTACATACATCATAATTTTTTTCAATTTATAATCTTGACTATACAGAAAGTCAAGCCAAGTTGATTATCTAATAAGGAAATACCTTTTTATTGCATACTTTTATTATTTTATCATTCTTATTTACACATTTTATTGATTTCGT